CCTGACCTACACCATTTCCGACAAATGGCAGTCCAATCTCTCCTTAAAAACCTCCGGTACTGGAGTACCCACAACTTCTTTTTTTTTTAAATATATATATTTATAGTTTTATATCACAAATTCCATTTTTATATTTGAACAGTGCGTTTTCTACAGTTTCCTTCCTCTGCCACCCCCACAGAACCGGTAGTAAAAAAATTTGAATCCCACCGCTGGTGTACCAATAGACATCTACGCGATAATATCAATCGTTATTCAAAAGTACACTATCTTCCATTGTAATATCTATTATATAACCCTCAAAATATTTACTAAGCATTTTTTTTTCTTTCTTTCTCGTGTAGTCTATATTTCACATAAATCCACTCATCCAACCTCTGTATCTGTCAGCTAACCATTTGTCGAAAAGTTCCCATGTCACAATATATTCCGAATCTTCTTTTTCTTCTGGTGGCAAGTCGTTCCACTCATTTATTGGTCTCCCTGTCAGGAAATTCCTCCTTAGTTCTAAGTTGCTTCTCTCCTGGATTCGTTTCCATCCGTTGCTTCTTGTCCTGCCTTCAGGGGCTTTGGAGAATAGCTTGACTCCCTCTTCTTTGGGGCAGCCCCTGAGATATTGGAAGACCGCTATTATCATGTCACCCCTAGTCCTTCTTTTCATCAGACTAGACATACCCAGTTCCTGCAACCGTTCTTTATACGTTTTAGCCTCTAGTCCCCTAATCATCTTTGTTGCTCTTCTCTGCACTCTTTCCAAAGATCTCAACCTCTTTTTTTTTAATATTGTGGTCAGTGTTGGGATTCAATTATTTTTATTACTGGTTCTGTGGGCGTGGCTTAGTAGGCGTGGCAGGGAAAGGATACTGCAAAATCCCTATTCCCTCCCCACCCCACTAACCTGCCTTCCAGCTCCGTTCTCCTTTGGGTGCAGGGCAACCAAAGGAGACCCAGCCGATCAGCTGTGGGCATGGCTTGATGGGTGTGGTGTTCTGTGGGCGTGGCTTGGTGGGTGTGGCATGTGGCTTGGTAAACGTGGCTTGGTGGGCGTGGCAGGGGAAGGATACTGAAAAATCCCCATTCCCTCCCCACCCCACTAACCTGCTTTCCAGCTCCGTTCTCCTGTGCAGGGCAACCAAAGAAGAACCAGCCAATCAGCTGGGACTCGGGAGGTGGAGACTAGATGGGGGCGGGGCCAGTCAGAGGTGTTTATTTGCCAGTTCTCTGAACTATTCCAAATCTCTGCTTCCAATTCTAGAGAACTGGTCCAAACCGGCTGAATACCACCTCTGATCGTGATGACCCAAACTGGACGCAGTCTTCCAAGTGTGGTCTTAACTAAGGCGTTGCAAAGTGGTACAATGTCAAGCCAGGAACGGAGCTCCACAGAAGGAAAAAGGAGCAATAATCCAGATGGTCCAGTCTAAGCAAGTGCTGAGAGCATCCCTGGGAGAAGAAGCTCCTTCTAGAATATTGTGGGAAATGCAACTGTCCTTATTTTATTTTTTTTCAGAAGCACCGGTGTTTTCATAAGCTGATGAAGCAGACTTTTTTTTTATTATTATCTCCGTTTCCAACTGTTTCCCCCACCAAGCTGAAATCCCCTTTAATCATTGTGTTCCATAATTTCCCCTTCCTCCGAATCAACAAAATACAGTTGGAGCAGTTCCAGAAGACGTGGTGTGCTCACCCAGGCCTTAACCCCGTGTGCCCCCTAACCAGGGTAGAGGCGGCCCCAACCGACTTGTCTTTGTGTGTTCGCATGACCGTTGCTTTCCTCCAGAAGGGAGAGCGGTTTAATTAACTCGCCCTTAGCTGTGTCACGGTTTTTAAGGATGCACTTCTCTTTCTTCCTACCTCTGCCAAGGCCCGGCCTACAGGTGGAGAAAAATTTGCACAGCTGTATCACCCATCCCCTTGGAAGCAGAGGTGGCATCCAGCCGGTTCTGACCAGTTCTGGAGAACCGGTCGCGGAAAATTGAAATAGTTTGGAGAACCGGCCAATACCGCCTCTGACTGGCTCCGCAAATCCCATCTATTCTCCGCCTCCCGAGTCCCAGCTGATTGGCTGGGTCTTCCTTTGGTTGCCCTGCACAGGAGAATGGAGCTGGAAAGCAGGTTAGTGGGGTGGGGAAGGAAGGGGGATTTTGCAGTATCCTTCCCCTGCCACGCCCCCCAGTCACGTCACGCCGACCGAACCACACCCACGGAACCGCTAGTAAAATTTCTGGAATCCCACCACTGCCTTGGGACAAGGGCCAAGAGAGGCCAGATAGGACCAGCCAAAGGAGAGCAGCATTCCCCAGGCTGCATTGCGTGGATTTTCAGCTCCCAGAATTCCCCAGACAGGATGCAGGGACTTCAGTTCCCAGGATTCCCGCCCACCCAGCGTGCACGGACTTCAGCTTGTCAGGGATTTAGGAGGCCAGAAAGCGGGGCGGGGGGGTCGGGGGGGCATTGGAGCCTTGGAAAGCCAAGCTGGGTTTGGCAGGCAACCAGGTTGGATGGCCTTGCACGGCCCATTCGCGCCAATCTTTCTCAAACTTGGCAGCGTTTCAGAGGAGCGGCCTTCAACTCCCCGAATTCTTGCTGGGCTGGGGAATTTTGGGAGTCCACGGATGTTAAAAGTGGCACGATGGTGGAGGAAATGCCGCACTATAGAATGTATAGTCTGTGGAGGGGGCCCTTGGTTGATTTTTTTTGGGGTGGGGGGCGTGCACGCATGCATTGCAACGCGTGAAGCTGCACAGTTTCAGTCCGTGGGCCGCTGCATATGTGCCCACAGCTTGGTGGTACCTGGGTGCAGATACTTGAACCCTAATCCGGATATAATCCGCCTTTGCGAAGCATTTTTGAATGTGAGTCAAAGCAAAAGTTGACAGCCCCAAAAGACATGAAAAAGAAACCTCTTTTTGAAAGATCCTTCGTGCTCTCTGAGCTCGTTTTGCAGACGTTTCATTACCCAAATTTGATAACATCAGTGCTAGTGCCCTTCCTCCTCCTCTCCCTCCCTTCCTTGTTTACTTCTTTCTTTCTTTCCCGTTCCTCCCTCCCTCTGGAAAAACCTTCTTGGCAAAATAGCGGGGTTCCTAAGCTCCCTATCCCAGGGGGGACATTTGACGGCCAATGACTGCATTTAATTGGGGAGAGGGAGTTGAGTGGGGCTTCAGGGGGTGGAGCAATGACCCAGAGGTGGTTATTCAGCCGGTTCTGACCAGTTCTGGAGAACCAGCAGCGGAAATTTTGAATAGTTCGGAGAACTGGCAAATCCCGCCTCTGACTGGCCCCGCCCCATCTATTCTCCGCCTCCCCAGTCCCAGCTGATTGGCTGGTTCTCCTTTGGTTGCCCTGCCCAGGAGAACAGAGCTGGAAAGCAGGATAGTGGGGTGGGGAGGGAAGGGGGATTTTGCAGTAGCCTTCCCCTGCCACGCCCACCAAGCCAAGCCACGCCCACCAAGCCACGCCCACAGAACCGGTATTTAAAAAATTTGAATCCCACCACTGCAATGATCTAAAGTGGGAGGCGTCCGTTCCTCTTATTTTGGGAAGAGTTAAGAAGCACCTGATTTTAAAAAAATCTTTAAGCCCGTGGCAAGTCTGTGGGTCTCCTTTCTTTGGGCCTCATTTGGAGACGATGGCCTCACTGCTCCCAGACTGCTGAAGGGGACCCCAGGCAGGGGTCCTTGGGGTCCCATCGCCCCGCGCCTGCCTTTTTTGAGAAGGGGGCTACCCTTCTTCCATTATTCTTCCTTTAAGCGCTGCTCTGTTTTCCACCAAATTGGGGGCAGCTACCCGTTTCCCTAGCCTAGTTCATTCTTGGTGCTTTTCCCAAGCAAAGAAGCTGAAGAAGCTTCTTGGATGAGAAGCGAAACGTCTTCAAGGAAAAACCAAGGAAGTCCAGTCTGGTTGCCTCTTGAAAAAAAAAAGCAACCATTGACCTAGACGACGGAGAATGTCCCTAGACCCCCCCAAGCAAAGAAAGGGAACTTTTAAGAGGCAGAAAAGCAACAGGGGCAGCGGGAGAGAGAGAGAGAGAGAGAGAGAGAAAGAAGAGAAATAAAAAGCAAGCAAGCAAGCAAGCAAGCAAGCAAGCAAGCAAGCAAGCAAGCAAGCAAGCAAGAAAGAAAGAAAGAAAGAAAGAAAGAAAGAAAGAAAGAAAGAAAGAAAG